CTTGTGTAACTTTTCCTCTCTCTTTTATGATCTGGTTGGTGTTGTGTGACCATCCTTTGAGCACAATCAGCAGTGCATGACTTCTGACCCTACGGTCTTAGTATTGGCACATTGTATCCCTGGTCAATCCCTGATTCATTTTAATCACTAGCTCTGTGTTCAGTTATTGATCCTCCTCTGTCCAACAACCAGCCAATTAGTTTAACCAAAGAAGAGTCTGTTTCCTGTCGGATCATGTCTGTGTCTGCTTTTTGTGCCCCTGGAAACAAATCAGTCATCCTGCTCTCTTGGAGAAGCAGCATCGGGGGTGGAATGCTTGGCTGTGGCTACAGCTATTGATTAGCGCTGTGTGTGTTGTGTGCTGTGATGATGGGTCGTTCACCAGCAATCCTACGGCTGTTTGACCCTGGTCCTCCCACACTTTGACCCTCTGTAGCACACAACAGCAGGGATGTGAAAACACAATGCCAGATATCTGTTTCCCTCCAGCTGAATGAAACCGCTTCAAATATTCTTTTGTGAGTTTGTTCATGCTCACATTTTGACATGAAAAAAAAAGCTTTTCCTTGTACAGGGTATCTGCAGGTCTTGAAAGTCCTAAAAAGCAAATCCAGTTTCTATAAACTATACAAGAAATTAAAACATCTTTAATTTAATATTCAAGGGTCTTAAATATTCTCTCTTAACCGCTGTAGGTAGTACTGTTAGTTATGAGATGTTTTTGTATGTGATTGAGGACGCTGTTTAATCCTTTTTTGTAAAGTTTCACTCAGCACCATCGGACCTGTTGCAAACACTGTCACTACTGATAGCTGCAGTAGAAAGAAAACTCATCATGTCATAATGGGCAAGTTTCGATTTCAGCAAAAACGTAAATGAAACTAAATGAATAATCATTTTCAATTGGTTAATACATCCATCTCTTTTACCCTGCTTATCTGGTCCAGGTTGCTTGATTTTGATTGATTACAATTTTAGGAATTATTGTTATATATACTGCTGGGAAGTACTGAAAAAAACAGATATAATGATAGATAATTCTAGGCCATATCGTTCCCACCGATGCATTCAAACATTGGGCGGTATGTTCGTAAAAAATATATTAAATTGCTTTCTATTTGCCTTGAAAAAGGTCTTTAAATTTAACTTGGTGAGCCCTGCAGAAACCCTGCTTATCATAAGACCACAGACGTATCTCTGTTATGAAATTCTTTGTGAAAAATAGCAATCCAGAGCTGCAGCTAAAAAATATTTTCATTAGAGATTAATCAGTTGTTGTTTTGATAAATCATCTATAAAAAAATAGTGAGAAATGCCTATAATAATTTATGAGAGCCCAAGGTAACGTCTGACCATTAATTCATTAAACCTAAAGACCGAACATGACCAAACATAAAAGAGGGGAAAACAGCAAACTATCACATTCAAGAAGTTAAAACCAGCAATTATTCAGCATTATCCCATGATAAAATGTCATACGTTACTAATCATGAAATGATATAAATTATTATGAAAATATTTGTCACTTAAACGTACTACAAGGAGTTTTTAACGGGTTATGAAACAGTCTCAATTTTATACTGAGGGCTCTATATAACCTAACAATTGTCTCTTTTTACATAGTTATTGTTAATATCTGCCACCAGGTCAGATTCAGTCGGATTCCCTTTGAAATCAATGACACAAGGCTGTAGAAACACCACTTTTGTCCACAGGGACCGAATCAATTTACTAAATAATTTGTATTAGTTTTTTTGTATTTGTTTTTTCAGAATTGTATTTAGTGCAGTCAGTGGCCAAAACCAATTTTTTGATTCACAAACAAGAGTATTGACCACTGATTAACGGGAATAAAGAGTCTTTTGTTCTGTATTGTTGCCTCATGGTCTTCCTCTACGCACCTGATCCAAAGGTGTGCAAAAGTTTTATTATAATCATTTATTTAGCAAAATGTGAAAAAAATAAATGTTTACAGCTTTTCAAATGTCATGACTTTTTGCTTATCTGTGTTGTTTATCATTATAAACTGAATGCTTTTGACTTTTAGGTTGTTAGTAAGACATAACAAGCCAGAAGTTGTCACCTTAACTTCTGGAAAATAATGATAGGCATTGTATTCTGTTGTTGTTGTGACATTTTATAGATTAAATAGCAATAAAAATGGATGGCTTTCTAGTGAAAGTTGAAATTACTTGCATTAAATCCTTCCTTTTAGCATCTTTTAGAGTCATGACAAAGTTGATTAATGCTGTCATTTTAAATTTTCTTTGCCTACAGTCATGCAGTTAGAGCATACCATCTGCCTGTTTTCTACTTTCCCTAACATTTATTTGATGATGGTCATAAAGTCCTGCTTCCCTTGCAGGTTCCATCATGTCATTTGATCATTTCTGCAGTGACAGTATGACAAACAGTCTGTAACATCCTTCAAAAGAGACGGAGAGAAACACAGAGTTCTAGCATTTACCAAATCCCACATTTTGTGCAAACACTTTTCCCTATTACTTTTGTTCTTTTGTTTTTAAAGCTGCTGGAAGAGCTAGACATGCTGGCATTATAAAAGATGGAGTAAGTTTCAAATAAAACTTCCTGGTTTTCACTCTGCAGGGTGGAATGTTCTGTCTGGACACAATCAGACTTTCACTATTTTTGTTCGTTCAACACTTTCTGAAGAAAATAATTACCTCTGTGAACCTATTTTCACCATACGATTCATTGGTGCTATTCCTTTTAACCATATTGTGTGCTTGTTTTTCACATTCTGTGAGATTGCTTCTGCATACATTATTGGTATTTGTTTTTTTAAATGGAAGAAGCACTGCTTAAAATGTTTCCATCTCAGATTTGATGCCATACTCTAGATTAAGAAAAACAACTCTAGAAAACAACAAAGATGCAGATTGCGTTTCTTCTATTCTATTCAGTACACAGTGCTTTAATGTGTGGTGTGCCACAAATTCCAAATCCCAAATTAAGCTGGCACAGTAGCTTCAAAACAGTTTGATGTCACATTATTCACTTGTAATCAAACCTCAGCTCCATGACCCGTAGTCGCTCTTGTCCTGAATCTGAAAGACATTTAACATTTATTTGAACAATGCGTATTTTATGGATGATGTTGTTTTAGTGTGAGAAATGGCTAGAGCTCTATATTCTTTGAGGTGTCTATAATGAGCTTTTTAGGGTGAGAGGATTTTCTGCTGGAGGCCTTGTCAGAGGTAATCGGATTCATGTTGTCTATTTCTCACAGGCTTATATGAGCCCACCTCTGGAGAGCGAGGAGTCTCATGTAGTATTGATAATAGAGACAGAGATGACATTGTGTCACTGTGAAAACCACAGAGAGAAAAAAATCAAATCCTGGACTATCTGTCTATTTTTCGACAGATTGAATGGATGGTACGCACTTTCTTCATGTTTGTTTTATTGTGTTGAAGATAATTGAGTTTCGTAAACACGTCACTGTCGAAAGCCACCTGAGTGAAGGGTGTACTACAGCTGGAATTAGTTTTCAATTTATTTCAAGAGTGTATATGCATTGCCCATATGTCCACGCATCATGGCATCTCTTTGATGACGATATGAAGAAAACATTCTTTGATTTATTATAAAAGGAAAAATGTAAAAATAACAGCTGAATCATTAGGAAATACAGCTTATATGACTACTGCTCTTTTGCCATACTGGAAAGACATCAATGAAACTCGAAGATAAAGAACCAATGAGCCTGTCTTCATCTGAGCTCATTTCCATAACAACAACAACACGATGGTGGGAGATATAAAGATTCTGAAAATATTCACAGTATATCACTTTTTTATTGTTGTGGTTTCTTGTATTTTTTCTGCATGACTAGGCCTTTATATAGGTTTATAGTGATATTCTACTGTCAGGAGTACATAGAATATAAAAACATTTAATGCCATTATGTATATGCTGGAGGCATTTATAACTACAGGGTTTTTTTGGCCCCACAAATAAAGGAATATGAAGGAATCAGAATGAATGAAACAATTTTTATTGTGCAAACTGCAACTTAGTAAAAACAGGACTTAAAAATGAAAAAGATATGCTTTTCTTTAACATACTTTAACATAGCTTCCTTTCACAAAACAAAATATTTTCAAAATAGTTGTATAAACACTACAAACAGACATAAAACACTCATA